CGATCAAGTTCTATGTTGCGAATTGTGGGTTTACTTTGGTTGTGCCTTTGGCTGTTTGGATCAGTCTTTCTGGAGGACTTGCAGTGGGAAGAAGAAATTCTGAGAATCCGTTCGCCTTTAGAAGTTTCAGAATCTGAAATTTCCATATCATGTAGTTGTCACTTGACAGTTGCGAAACAGCTATGCTCTTTATATTCGATACAACGAATTTGAGCGATGTAGGTATGGAGTATTCCTCCATTGCATTAGTTTCAGATAGATCGGTATTGGATGATGACGATCCTGTCATGGTGCTGAAGCAATTCTTGAAGAGAACAAGAAATGCTTTGAGAATTCCTGAATTTCGGATTCAGGCTCTGATACCATAAAGAACAGAGAAGAACAGAGGAAGTAGTTTGTGATTCTTGATTCTCATTCAATCTACGATATGAGTATATATAGCTTTACATGAGATGGTTCTAGAAGTACAGATGTACGTAATGTATTGGTTAAGGTAGTTAGAGAAGTTCTGTATAAGATCGTTTCCCATGTGCAGGTTTGCAGCTGTTGACAGCTGTAGGCTGTTGATGACCTGTGCAGCACCTGAAACACTTTATGTTAATACCTTCCAATTCCGAAAAATATCCGTTTGATGTGGATTCTTTTAATACCCATGAATTCCATTGGACTCAACAATGAGACATTCAAAGAATCTATTTTTTCTTCCAAAAGAAATGTCTAGGAGTTGTCTCGTCTAACTGCAAGGGAGACATTCTCTCAAGAAATAAAAAAAGTTTATCATGCTTGAATCTAATCGGGTTTTTTGGGGTGGAGGAATCAGATTGGAACAAAATGTGATTACAATAGAAATGATGGAATGTCCATACTGCCTGAATTCAGTTAGTTACAATTTGAAGGTCTTTTTTAAGTTCATTGATTAGGGCTTGAGATGATGAAAATATGATCTATGGTTGTCTGATAGGCCGGTTCACGCTGAACCGGCCCAGCCGGCTCGACTTTTCTACAGGAGGCGGAAACAGTCTGCCTCCCCTGGTCTTATCGGCCCAAAGGTGGGCCTCACTTGTCTACTTGAATTCAAATTGAAAAGGATGGGGCGGCTAGGGCTTGGGAGGGAAATTAGATTAGGAAAATGATAGGAAACACTTGGATTTCCAAGTGTTTCTCACCAAAACCCAATAGATCTAGGATGAAAACTGCTGTCCACACAGTAAAACAGCCAAAAACAGTGGAATCAGAGAGAATACGAAGGAGAAAATAAGAAAAACAAAGCAAACACTTTTATTCTAATAAGGGATGAAAAGCACTTGCAAGATACAACTTTCCTTCAATTCGAGAGGAAGGAAAAACTCTCCAAATCTCTAGCCGTAGCCTAGAGCCCAAGAACACAAACCCTAGATCTCAAAAATGATTCCAATTCAAGATTATCCCCTCTCCCTCCTAATCCTCCTAATTAACAAGAAAGGATTCCTACAAATTACCTAAACAACCCTTTGCATTCAAAATTTTCCCTCCCACATAATTAAATCATCCCCAAGTGGGGTCCACCTTGTCCGCCCCCTCCTCTGGGCGTTTCCGCCCCCGCCTGGTGTAGACCCGGGCTGAACCGGGTCCTCCTGGGCCGGTTCACGCGTAACATTACTCCCCTCCCAAAAACTCACCTTGTCCTCAAGGTGAAAAGAAGGGAATTGCTCTTTCATTCTCTCCATT